AAATTCAATAAATCCCAATGTTAATTGACGAAAATTAATAATTAGGATCTAAAATGACACAAAGTTATATCTTTTAAATTACAAATATTTTTCTCAATTAATAATTAATTAATTAATTAGTATGACTTTCTAAATTATAATTGTTAGATGAGCGGAAAGCAATAGTTAAGCTGGAGAGTAAGATTTATAAGTCGTGAAAATATCCTCTCTCTCTGTATATATATATATAAATATATTTGAGAAAAATATTTTTCAAGCTGTTTGAGATATATTTATTTCCGATTATTTCAAAATTACGTCATTTTGTTTATTTATTTCCTTATATTTCTCAAGCAGTGCTTAAGATAACTTTATCTTCAGCCAACGACATAGTTTTGGGATAATCAAAAATAAATATATCTCAAGCAGTTTGAAAAATATTTTTCTCATATATATATATATATATATATATATAATATGGGGTTTATATTCATCATGCAACATTATATAATCATTTTTCTTACATACACAACATTTTAAGGGGGCCACATTTTTTGAAGCAAAAAAATTAAGACAAGAAAAACGAATCTTTATAATATAACCGAATCATTTTTTTCTACAACGTCACTTTTACAAAACATATATATAGGAAACCAGATAAAAGTGGGTTTCGGAGCTCGGATATATATTTGATTGATTGATTGAAACCTAATAGTATCTTTTTAGCTAAAGAGGATTAAAGATGAGAAGATTCTTCTCACTTTTTATTTTTAAGCTGAAAATTTGAAATCTTATATATAGAAAAGTTTGGCAAGTGAGTTCTATGCTATGCTATTTATTTACTTTTAAATAAATTTATATAATAAGTCACTTCTTTCATATTTATTTCGTATTTAGTTTTCGAAAAATATTTTATTAAATAGATTTAAATGACTCTGATGTTTATATATTTAAATTTATAATTTACTAACAAATTTGTCTATATCTTAACTCTGTAGACAATTCTTTTTTATTCATAAAACACGATCAAGTAAATCATGGAACTAATTATATTATCTGAATAATTAGCTTTGAGATATTAACTTTTATTACTACTATATATTAATTGGTGCAAGATCTTTTGACACTGATATCAAACTTTAAAATTTGACATCAAATCTTAACTGTTAATTTTTATTCGATCAACGATTATAAATTTTGTCAATCAAATTTATTAATTAATTATTAATTTTCAATAAATTATAGCCGTTGATTAACAAAAGTTAACGATTAAGATTTGATGTCAAATTTCAAAATTTGATATCGATATCAAAGGATCTTATCCTATATTAATTATATTTTATATTATACCGTTCTTTTATCTGTATTTACTAGTTAGAAGTACTTATGTCAGAAACATACTGGGTGAATTTGGATAATTTTTTTTAGAGTTTTTTTAAGCAATACTTTTGTAATTTATAGAAAAGTAATAAAATAATTTTTTAAGATTTATTTCTTTAAGAAAATTTCTACTTATTATAAAAAAAATTAAATATATTTTTTACTTGATATTATTATTTTTCAATTAAAAAAAAGAAATAGATGGGGATTTGTCACAAACAAATCCATACAAAACACTTCTTTTATTTGTCAGATTTATACATTAAGGCGTATGTAACTCTGATATGGAAGAAACATAAACCACACTTCATTTATAAGTGCAAATTAACTGCTTCCATATATTATGATTTGCATTAAAAAAGAAATACTTATTAATGATTGGAATTAAGACAAACTGAGTTGCCCATTATGAGAATCAAATCGAATGGGATCTAATTTTAACCTTTCATTAGCCAATGCTCCTCATTTATCAATGCGAATTAACTGACATATATATGATCTGAAAAATTCCTCTCTTATGTTTTTCAATTGCTCTACTTTATTTTTATTTTTTATTTTTGGATTTGGCAAGGAGGCTGTATTAATATTTAATACCGTGTTAATAAAGTATTAACAAAAATAAAGAAAGAAACAAAGCACATGCAAAAGTTGACCAACTAAACAAACAGCAAAAAAAAAAAAAACATTTATCTTTGATGCCTTATAAAAAAGTCAACCCACCATTATAAATATCACTCAGTATATAATCACACAACAAGTAAGAATCTAAAGGAGTGTTTGGTAGAGGAATATTTTTTTTTATTAAGAAAATATAATTACTAGAGATATGGTGAGAAAGAAAGTTTGATAGGAAAATTAAAAAAAAAAGTTGTTTGGTTGGACAAAATTTTACCAAAAAAATTAGATAGAAGTTTATAAGTTTATGTTTAGTTGAAGGTAAAATATTGATGGAGAAATAAGTTAAAAGTACCAAATTAACCCCTTTTAATTTTTGAGATATAATTGCTTTCCTTTGTTTCCAGTGGTTGAATAACTGTGTTGGGAAAAGGAACTGCTCAACATTCTTTCTTCTAATGATTTCGGTCATGTTAATGGTCAGTCATCTTCTCATTATTATAGTCTCTTTCAATTTCTGACCCCAGTAAAAGAAAGTGTTTCAATTGGGTTAGTTGAATCTTTTCCTACATTTTTCTCATGTTACAGCTTATCATTGAAGGAGGGGCTGCAATTGCTATGTTTATCAGGTACTTTGCGGATAGAAGAGGAATAGAAAAGGAGCTTCAGAGGAAGCTTTATGTAGAGTTTTCAAGAGGAGTTCATGCCACCATGTGTGTAAATAGTTATTTGAATTGTTTTTGGGCATTGCTGTATTTTGTGCCGGACTTGAATTTTGGATTCAACATCACGTTTGATTTGCGTTGAACTTCCTGGAATGCTTTAGGTGTTGCTTCTCTTATTGACAACTTATAGTTCAGCAGAGTAATAAGGGGGTGATTTTCGTCCACAGTTTCGTGCTCTTTATTTCGTTGCCTGGGTAAACAGAAAATACCACCATGAGTGTGGTTTTCTGGAACAGTAATAAACATCACATTTTGCAAAGAAATCGTAAAGGAATTTGTCTGGGTATCTCTACCAAAAACCTCTACCAAACACCCCCTAAAAGGCCCTAAAAGGGTACACGAATCAAAGTATAAACCTAATTCAGATAACCCCATATTAGGTCTTTGACCTTAGCTCATTTATGTTAGTAAACGCGATCGCTTTACGACTAGCATGTATAATAAGACATTATAATGCTGCAGAAAAAATGTTTGTTTAGATATATGACAGAAGGATTTTCAAATACCCGAAGGATTTCAATAGGATAATTTATAATTTATTTCCAAAATACGTAATTCAAAATTTCACCTGAATAGGTTGGATTTCAAAATTCCCTCTTCTAGTAACTTAACTCACCCTATTCAAGTTCTTCTTCTCTCTATGGCTTATGCCATTCAAGTTTTCTCTGTTGCAAGTCTTTACCAAAATACACAACTCGTCTTGCTCAAGCTGCTGGTGATGATGTTCTTACTCCTGATGATACTGGTGCAGCTGTTGGTGCACCAGCACGTCTCCCCCGCCTCCGGCCACCACCTCCTGAGGGTGGATGGACAATTGATCATGTCATGACATCCATGCAAAACTTGTCATGGGAGCTTGAGACAAGTGAGTTTAGGGGATTTAGACAATTTCAGGGCAGGTGGTGCTCTTAGATGGAGTTGAGGGTGAGACGCTTGGAGGTAGGGTACAGACAAGGTCCATGCATTATGGAGGAGCCTGCTGCTGCTATTGAGTCTGTTGTTGAGGAGGACATAAATGATGATGGTGAGGAGACACATTCAAATACCAGGCATTAGGGTTTTTTGTTTATGCATTTAGGGTTTATTCTGATATATTCTGAGTTTTTTTGGATGTACTGAGGATTTATTTGGACTCAACGAGGAGCTTGATGTATGCGGGGTTTATTTTGTACTTGGAACTTGGAAGTTTATGCAACTTAGTTTTATTAATGAAATGTCTGTATGTTTATGTTTAACCAAATTGTATGTTTACATTTTAGCATAAATAGTTATTTTGTCACTTAGAGCTGATTTGAAGGACAACTGACTAATTTTACATGCGCAAACACCATCCTCAAGTCCAAATGCATTAGACCATGTCAATTGACTCAAGTTTTGATCATTGTTTGACCTAATGACAACTTGGTATGTTGAAACCAAGTTGTTCGGTTCTAGATTTTGTACCGTTATGCACTCCGGCCTGACCATTTCCCCTATGTACCTAATGTCCCCCTCCCCAAGTCATCTCAATATATAGTGTTGCAAAGTATTTTGAACCCAAAAAATTCGTGAAACAATTGCTAGATGGTCATTCTCAGCTGGTATATCCGGGTAATATTATTTCCTAACTATCATAAGTTTTCTATCATTGTTTTCATTAAAAAAAAATTTCCTAAATAATACAAAGCTTTTAAATTAATATAGTTTTATATTTGTTGGATTAAAATCAAATCAAATTAACGACTTTCACTTAATGTTATTTTGTAACTATTAATTTGATTTTAGTACAATAAAAAAAGAAGTTGTAAGTATAAGTATATAGCATCTCTGAATAAGAATGAAATTATTTAAATTTAAATATATCCCTCCTCCTATAAATGAAATACTTGCTGCTTTCAGTAAACTACAGGAATTATATACTTATTTAAAAAGTGATTTAATTTTTTTTATACAACAATGATGTTGAGGTTTGAATTTAGGAAAAAGTTCACCAATGTCCCTGTGGTTTTTTTCATATCACTTATATCTCTGTGCTTTGTAAAAAATAAGAAACCACAGGGATATATGTGATAAAAAACATAACCTTTTACAAACCACATGGGCATATGTGATAAGAAAAAAATCACAGGAGCATAAATAATTATGAAGTAAACCACAAGAGCATCGGTGAACTTTTCTCTTGAACTTTTCAATTTATAATATGCAAATTAATCAAATTCCTCAGTACTAATCCATTCCTGTGATTTAATTATTTTTTAAAAGATATTTTAATCTTATTTTTATTTTTATTTTCTCCACCAAGAATTCAAAAGAAGTAGATGTGATCGGAAGGCAGTGTTTTGGTGCGTGCAAAAGCACAAGTGCATAAAAATAACAAGAGTTGAAATAAACAAGACAGTGTTTTGGTTTACCCGAGAAAACAAAGGGTTTGGATCAACTCTGAATCTCCGTTATGGCCTCCATCAATCCACTCTTTCTTTTTCTTTCCATACAAATATGCTTCTCACTTTTACCCTTCTCAATCGCTCAATCTGGGTATCAATTCTCTTTTCCCTAAACCCTAATTTTCACTTTGCTTTCTATAATTACGATTTTGATTGCCTCGGTTGTGTTGATTTTGATTTAACCTATGTAATTTCTCCAGCTCTGCCGAAGGTTACACCATTTATGGTCGAGTGAAGATCCCCAGTATGTTTTTAATTTTTATCATATAATCATTTATCTGATTTACTGAATTTTTATTAGTTTAAATCTCAAGTATAGGTTGATGTTTAATGTGCCTTCAAGATTGATTTGGAATTGTTGATGGGACACGTAATAGTACTTGGGTAGTCATTTAGTTCAAGCTGTTCATATGGGTTTTGGAATTTTCCATAATTCAGTGTGCTCAAAAGTTACTTAGTTTAAAGTTTTTGCTGGGTTATATTTTGATTTTTAATTTTGAATATTTACTTAGACCCAAAAAAGAAAAAAAGAAAAAAAAGTTTGGAACGTTAACATATTTTGTCAATTTTGATTTAATGCACCATTTAATGCATATGTTGTATATTTTTTTGTTTTCTATGCTCATTCTGTCAACAAAATGAACTTTCTTCTATCAATCCCAACTTTTTCTTTTTCTTGCAAAGCATTCTTTTCTTTTTTATTAGTTTCTTGTCAATGCAGAGACAAACGCACCCCATTTTACGTGACAACAAATCTTGTCATTTTTAGTTGTTGAGATTTAATCTGGCAAGACCTTATAAATTTCTAATATGAATTAAGAACATAGATGGATTTTAAATTTGTTAGTTGCTCTTAAGTTTCATCAGTTACTTCAGTGGATTGTGTTTGAACAGTTGTAATAGGAAGACGGTGTTCAAAACGTGTTAGTGTCTCTTGTCATTGAGAAAGTATATCTGATGGTGTTAGCTGAGATAAATTCAGCAAGGTTTTAGGGGAGTTGATGGTTTAGTTACTAGTGTTGGGAATTCAAGTTAGTGATAAAATGTCCCACATTGGGAAGGAAGGGGCTAAGCATGGTACATATAAGTGAAAGGATCCATAAACTCAATGTCTTAAGGTTTTGGGTTGAGATGTGATGTCGGATCCCTTGTTGTGGTTTTGTCACTTAGTCCCATTTGATCCGTGGATTATAGTCTCCCCTAATTTGGGCTCCCTCTGACCACTGCCCAACAGTGGTATCAGAGTGACAGATCTGTTTTTTTCCTTTTGGGGCATTATTGGTGACTTCCTTCATCACTTTTATCTTTTGATTTCCATTTGTTAGATGATGTTATTTGATTCCTCTATTGTTACATAGAGAGAGAATATTGTGTTTATGTATCCATTATTTTTATTCGGTGATAGTGGAGATTTGGGTGGACTTCGATAAAGGTCCCGTGATCATTTTCCCACATTGGATTTTTCACGTTAAAAGTCTTGTGTGCCAATTATTGTTTCTAGTGTTCTTGATATTATTTTGAGTTTACTTCAATTTGCACTTGATCTATTTGTTTAGCCCCCAACAAAGTGGTACCAAAGCCTGGTTTATTATCAAAATTTAATGGTTGAAATGTTTAAATTTAATGGTTTATGATCCTTAATGCAGACTGCTTGTTGCACATCTATTCTGACTGCACAAGGGTTTGCTGTAAAGATTGGTTGTATAATGGTATCAGTGAATCTATTTGGCAGGTTTTGGAATGAAAGAATATATTCTTCCTGGAAAAGTTTCAAATGTCAAAGTCATACTCAATGGTGGTCAAAGAGTTACTTTTTTGAGGCCTGATGGATATTTCTCATTGTATCCTTTGATTTACAACTTCATTTCTACCTCTGTTTAGTTATCATGATGACACTTTTTGGGATATTAAGTCCTTTTTAATTCTATATCTCCTCATCTTCTTTTTCTTGCTTTTGAGAAGTTATAGTTAATGCTGGTAAACCATCTAGTTCCTTAACGTGTGTGTTTTAAGCCACAATGTGCCTTCTGGGACTCATCTAATTGAAGTGGATGCAATGGGCTATTTCTTTTCTCCGGTGGATACTCAATCTGGAAATTACGTCTTAAATTTTTTCCCCTAATAATTTTTCTTTTTTCTATGTATGCTCATATACTAAATTATTGCGCTCATTAAAAAAAAGGTACGAGTTGATGTTAGTGCCAGAAACCCTGGCAAAATTCAGGCAGCACTGACAGAAAATAGGAGGGGGCTTAGTGAGTTTGTCTTAGAGCCATTAAAGGAGGAACAGTATTACGAGGTTGGTTTAGATGGCAAATTTCCTGTTTGTGTTCCCCTATTCCCCTCACCAATCCTTCAAATTGTCATCTGAATGTATGCCTGGTGTTATATTGTTTTGTTACAGATTAGGGAGCCGTTCTCTATTATGTCCATTGTGAAAAGTCCAATGGGTCTGATGATGGGATTTATGCTGATTGTTGTCTTTCTCATGCCCAAACTAATGGAGAACATGGGTATGACATCTAACATTTATCTGTAAACTTCTTTCATTTCCTTTGGAGGAGAATTTTATGAGACTAGTCATATCCCTTAGTAGCAATTACTGTTTCTGAGCATACATCAAAATATCAAAATCAAGTTAAAATATCTGTAGTGCCTCTTGTGTTTCTCGCTCTCTCTTTTCTTGAAGAAAAATTTTCTCCCCTAATGTTCTCTTTTTAATGAGTCATATTTGAAAATACTTTGCAATCCTCCATGAGCTGTTCTATTTTATGGGAACATTTTACATGTTTAAAATATCAGCCATGAATTATGCACCTTGTCTCTTTTTGGGCTTCAACTCAATGTTTCTTGCATGGTTTTCAAACTCAGGAGTTTATCAACAAAAACTTGTTTACATGCTTATTAATTCCCAGTTGATTAAAACTAGGATAAAATTGGAAAAATGATGAAAATCTTGTTCCAATTTACTTTTGATGTTGTGATTTTCTTTTCTTGTTATATTGATACTTTTGATGATTTACTTTTTTTTTTGTAGTGGAGGGGTGGGGTGGGGGTTTTGTTCTCTTGTATTCATATATCTGTGAAGCTGTGTTTTTTGTCATTGCCTGAATATTATGCTTAGCCTACCGAGTCCAATTTTGAGGCCTTAGTTTGATGATGACCTCCACGTTTTGGTGTAATGAAATGGCATCCATCATCTCTTAAACAATCTGTTGAATGGTAGTTGTTTTATATTGTATAGACCTATAAAGCAGAATATTACACTACTCTTCACATAATTTGTGCTGATGGCTTCATTATACTGTGGTGGCAACAGATCCAGAAGAAATGAAGCGTGCACAAGAAGAAATGAGAAATCAAGGAGTTCCATCTTTAGCAAGCCTGTTACCTGGTGCCGCAAGAAACAACTAGGTGTATGAGTAATGGGAAACCAGTGAGCATTGCCTTGAGCAGGAGCTCAAGAAACATGAGATACCGTGATTGGAGGGTTTTGTTTTGATAAAATGGGGTCGAGAGAAATCTTTGATTATTTATGTTGTGGAATGGTTGAATTTTTTAAATTTCTGATAGAGATGTTAGCATGTTTGATTTGAACACTCAAGCGTAGGCTTCTATTTAACTCTGCTTCTATGTTATTAATGTGGATAACCACGCACTAATGTGGATAGTATTTTTTGGTTTGCTTGTAAAACTCTATGATTTCCTCTTTTGGTCCTTCCTTTTTTGATACATTGGTGGGAATTGAACACACAACATAATACAAACTACCTAAATCCCTTACCACTAAATCAATTCTAGTGGCTTCTCTTTTGGTCCTTTAGCTTGATAAAAGAATTGATTTATGATCTGTATTGGCTGCATTGCTCAAGTTAGCTGTCTTCTCCAAGCTTAGTGCTTTGCTTTTTGTTCTTTTGCATCCCTATTTCAGTTTTATAGTTAGGAGAGTAAGTATATAAATATACACATCTCTACCAAGTTCAATCTTGTTGGAACTTGGAACCAAAGAGTGGAACAGGATTATGTCTGCGAAATAATTATGATTGCTGTTTGCGAGATATGATAAACAAATAACGACATTCCTTTTTTTTTTTATGTATATACAAATAACGACATTCCTTGAAAGATAATCTCTTACCTGCCCCTATCCAGGTGTTCCGATTACTTCATATATCATTATTAAGTTACCAGTCCAAGGAAGAAGAAAGAATGACATTGATCTAATGTCAAGAAAACCAGATTTTGTAAGTTAAAACAACATGCATTGTAGTTTTGCAGCAATCCACTTCTCTTTTTTTTCCCCCCCATTTTTAACTATCGTTTATTGTAGGTTGATGGACATTTATCGGGAATGTTGGTAGGGCGTTTGTCAGACAATTTTTTTTTTATGCCTGAGAATAATAATTCTTAGGAATATATTAGGAAAATAAACTTATCGAGAATGTTATCAAAAAAATTATTTGATAGGTCAAAATATTAATCAAAATATTATTAAAAAGCTGTGTGAAATTTTTTCAAGTCATGAGAATCCAAAAATATCATTTTCCTGGTATATTTTTGATAGCATTTTGGTTTAAAAAGCTTAAAAAAAAAAAATTCTGAGAAAATTTTAACAATTCTTATATCAAACATGAAAAAAATAAAATTATCAAGAAATCCAAAAATTTTACTTTGTACGAAATGCGCCATAAAGACATTTTGTAGGAATCCCCTTCGGTGAATAATGGTAGGGGTGTTCACCAACCGATCCAAACCGATTCAAACCGCGGTAACCGAACCAAAAAACCGAAAACCGAAAAACCGAAAACCGAAAAAAACCCGCAAATTTTAATTGGATTGGATCGGTTTTTGGATGGGTTGATGAAAACCGATCCAATCCAAACCGATCCAATATATTAATTCCCCTCTACCTACTTGAGTCTTTCCCTAATCATAACCTAAAAATTTCTAAACCCAAGACCTATTAACCCTTAACTAAACCTAAGAAAAAATCTAATCACATCTCATCAACAAAATTTTATCTTTTGTAGAGCTTCATATCTCATTGTCCAAAAAAAAACTATATTATAGTTTACTAATGTTTTTGTATTTAAAAAAATAATAATTTACAAAGACAATATATACAAAAGATGTTATTTGCACAATAATCATGAAATAAATTTTAGGATTTTCAAAAAACCGAAAACCGATCCAATCAGAACCGAAAAAAATTGGATCGGACCGGATCGGATTTGAAAAAAAATCCAAACCGAATGGATGATTATATGATCAAACCGAAGGGATTGGATCGGATGATTTTTGCTTCCAAAATCGATCCAATCCAGACCGCGAACACCCCTAAATAATGGAACAATATGACAAACATCAGTAGGCTTATAGTTATACTCTACAAAGCACCGATACTTTAAAAATCTTGACGTGTCGTGTCCGATACTTCCCGACATTCCAATACTCGTTGCAAAGATTCAAAAAAGGTTCAAATGTTATGTTATATTGTATTTTGAGTTCTAACTATTAGATTCGTTAGATTACAATTACGATTTTATTAAGTTTAATATAAATATTTGAGATATCTTATGTTTTTTTGCAAAATTGATGGGTATTATAAGTTTAGCTTTATTTTTTTATTAAATTATTGAATACTAAATATAATATACACTACATAAATTAAGAATATTATATAATATCAAAATGTGTCCTAACATGTCGAAATTTAATATTTGTTAGAATTAACGTGTCGGAGTGTCGTGTCGTGTCGTATCTCGTGTCCCGTGTCGGTGTCGGTGCAACATAGGTTATACTGATGTAGTGGTAGGCAAATAAAATAGGGTTTTAACTAAGGGGTTTATTAATCTTATGTTAAAGGAGATAAATTATCTCATGTCATAGAGATAAACTTGTGGGCTCCACCACCTAGAAAAAAAAAAAGATGACACAGTTATCGAAAGGTATGTAGGAAATAAATTTATCACATGTAACATAAGAGTAATTTTTCCCTTTAACTAAAGAGGACCCAACCTTACTCATTATTATCTACTTCCTGCGCTTATAACTATTTTAAATTTTTTCCGTATAATAGTTAATTGCAATATTAAAAGAGTTAGCACAATTAAAAAGGGTAAATCGTGTTAACTAAAGTTTGTTGGAGTTAACCAAATTTATTTTATGTTTTTGGAAAATTGGAAAATAAAATCTCCAAAAAAAAGAAAAAAATCAATTTAACTGACGTGCTAGTTAACGAAACTTGCAGACTCAGATCCCCTCGTCCGAGTGAACTCGGTCGCTGAACGCTCATTCTAGATAACTGATAGTAATTAGTAAAGGCGTTTGTGAGGGCCAAAAGAGAAGAACAAGAAGGTGGTGCAAATGGGTACTCTGTCTCTTCTGAAATGGTGCATATGCATACCCTCTTTCTCTATGGTTTTCCCTCATTCAGGTAGAGCCATTTTTCCCAGTGCCCGCGCTGCCATCTTCAGGACGAAGAAGCTTCCTTCTTATTGCGCCGGGTCATCCCAGCCGTTGACGGCGGAGAAGAATTGCGGCAAATCCGACGGTGATAGTTTCAGTTTGAAGAGTCCATCGCAAGAGGTGTGGCTGCACAACACAATGAGTAAAAGGAAGGAGCTTTTTAAACCCAAAGTGGAATCCAAAGTGGGAATGTATGTGTGTGGAGTCACCGCTTATGATCTCAGTCATATTGGACATGCTCGTGTCTACGTCAATTTCGACCTTCTTTACAGGTTTCTCTCTTTCTTTCTATTTCCTCACCAAAAAAAATAAGTTTTTTTTTTTTTTGCCCCTTTTTCTGCCCATTAGGATTTGAACCAGTTTGAAGCATACCCTCCTTTTGATTTTGGTACTAATTGGTTTTCATTTTCTGCTCCGTTTGGCAATTAGGCAGATATTTTAAGCATTTGGGATTTGAAGTCTGTTATGTTCGCAATTTTACTGATGTAGATGACAAGGTGAGTCTATTTGCTCCTCTTGTGCCCCCTTTGTACTTTTTCAATAAGTTCTCTCTAACTTTGGTTTGATTAGGTCAAGTTTTTCACTTGTTGATATTAATAGCTAGACAGCTAATAGAAACAAAGATCTTCAAAATGCAATTTTTAGAACTATGTAACTTTACATCGAGTAGAAGAGGGAAATGAGGTCTAGGGCAATCTTTGATGGGTTCAAGTTAATGATGTATCTAAATTCTGCCTGTGTGAATAGCTTAATCCCCCTCACCATCTATGCCTTTTCTTGTCTCTCGGCCATTCATTTGATATCTTGTTAATAGTAATTTTAATCATTTAGAGTTTGTACTTTAAGATTTTTTAATAGGGTTTCAATTTTGATTATATTCTTTCGTTACAATTGCAAAGTACCCACTGCCTTTTAATTGGTATTACAGGATCTTAGTCTGCACTTTTCAAATTCTGTAGATAATTGCTAGAGCAAAGGAGTTAGGAGAAGATCCAATCAGTTTGAGCCGGCGCTATTGTGAAGAGTTCTGTCATGACATGGTAACTCTAAATTGTCTGCCTCCTTCCGTGGAACCAAAAGTCTCAGAGCACATGCCCCAAATCATTGATATGATCGACAAGGTACTATTGCTGTCCCTTTTAATGTGGGATAAAAATGAAACTTGAGAAGATAGACAAATTCCAGACTACTGTTTCATCTTTGTTATTGGTTTATAAAATGCTTCTATTCATAGTTTATTATCAATCGTTCTTTTCTTGCTTTAGAAATTTGATGTTGATTAATTGTTGATCAGTTAACATGCCTGCTGACAGATTCTTAATAATGGGTATGCCTACGTTGTTGATGGGGATGTATACTTTAATGTTGAAAATTTTCCAGAATATGGGAAATTATCTAGTCGAGAACTAGAAGATAATCGAGCTGGTGAGAGGGTTGCTGTTGATTCAAGGAAGAAAAATCCTGCTGATTTTGCTCTTTGGAAGGTATAATATATTGGTGACAAATAATGAAAATACAAGATCTGTTAAGTGTGTGTTTCTCAGTATATATTACATTTTGATGATTATAAAATACATAAAAATCTTAATCTAGTTGGAACTTAGTTATTGTGGATTGTCAATGCTATTCTGCAGTCTTCAAAACCAGGAGAGCCATTTTGGGAGAGTCCGTGGGGTCCTGGAAGACCTGGGTGGCATATTGAATGCAGTGCTATGAGTGCAGCTTATCTTGGCTACTCTTTTGATATCCATGGTGGAGGGATCGACCTTGTGTTTCCTCACCATGAAAATGAAATTGCTCAGAGTTGTGCTGCGTGTAAGAAAAGTGATATAAGCCTATGGATGCATAATGGTTTTGTCACTATTGACTCTCTGAAGATGTCTAAATCTCTGGGAAACTTTTTCACCATACGACAGGTGATGCATTACTGATGGTTTAGACTTAACCTTTTGAAGTCTAATGCCATTTGTTATTAGACATAAAGTATAATATATATTACTGAGGACCCACAGTTTCAATTTTTTGTTGATTACCATTCAATGTGTTAAATCCTTATGCCATAAACGTTTTGTGTTATCAGGTTGTAGACATTTACCATCCGCTGGCTTTGAGATATTTTTTGATGGGCGCCCATTATCGATCTCCTATTAACTACTCTCATATTCAGCTCGAAAGTGCTTCAGACCGTATTTTTTATATATATGAGGTGTTACTTTCTTAGGCTAGAAATTTCCTTCTTTCCCCTTGGTATGTGTGCTTGTTTGTCCTTGCTGTTTGCACTCTTCATTTTTTATGCATCTGCTTCCTGGACGTTCTTAATTGAGCTTGCTTCTTTTATTGTGCCATTTTATATGTTGTGTGGATGTATCTTGAAAATTTCATATATTTGCAGACATTACATGAATGTGAAAGCTTTCTGAATCAGCATGATCAGACAGTTAGGAAGGATTCCATCCCACCAGATACTTTGAGTATTATTAATAACTTCCATGATGTTTTTTTTACCTCAATGTCCGATGATCTTCACACTCCGGTTGCATTGGCTGGACTATCTGACCCATTAAAATCAATCAATGATTTACTGCATACTCGTAAGGTATGGTATTTTATCACATGTATTTGAAAGTTATTATTTATTACAATTTATAATTGATTTTGAATGAGGTCAAAGTTTGTAAATGGACATTTTTCAGGAATTTGTCATATTTTTGGTATGCTATAGATGTTGGTTTTGGTTTGATGTTAATATATTAAACTTAAGGTTTTGGTTACATCTAACAATCCGTCTTGGTTCAAGCAGATCTGTATTTCAAATTTTTTACTTGTTAATTGTTATATAATGCTAATGACCCAATCTTTGCAAAGGTTGAACTAAAGGGTCTTGTGTGGACCTCTTCCTGGTTTTGCAGCTAATCTTCTAAAGATACGGTCTCTAATTATATTGTTTCTGACTTCCAGTGCTAGAAATGCTACTTTAAAACTTTATCTTGTGGATGATATCATATGAATGCTTGTCACCAAAACAAATAAAAGATATCTGTTAGCAGCAGGCCTCCAATTAGGCAAGTATGTGTTAGAAGAAATAAGGATGGACCCAAAGATCCAAGTGGGCCAGCCTTAGTTAGTTAGGACTTGCTAGAGAAGCTGTTAAGAGTAGTTAGTTAGCCCTCTAACTGCAGTAGCAGAGGTAGGATATAAATGTAGGGAGAAAATGTAAGTGAAGGCAGGCAGTTGGTGAATTTGTTTTAGGAGGAAAGAGACCAGGCTCTCGAATACCGGGGGAGGGAGAGCTTTATACTTCTGTATCATAGTTCAAAGATTGATTGTCTAACAATAAAGACTTCACTTTAACCTCATTTGTTGGTCCAGTTTGATCAATATTACATAAATGCTGTTTATAACATTTCCAAGTTCAATATCCTTTCAGGGGAGAAAACAACAATTTCGAATGGAATCACTTGCAGCTTTGGAGAAGAGCATAAGGGATGTCCTTACTGTTTTAGGACTTATGCCTGCAAGTTATTCCGAGGTATGAATACATTTGAAGTGATTGGTTTCTGTCACTGTTTTCTACTTTTTTGCATTTGAGATATCATACTCGTTAGTTTTTTTGGGAATACAAATCCTTAAGTTTGGTGTACTTAACAGAGATCCCATCAAGTAGCGGAAGTTTATTTCCTTTATCTTTTTTTCTTGCGGGTGTGTAGTTGTTACTTTTGAACTCTTTAGATAATCAATATTTATGGGCTACATATTTGTTTGCTTGTTTTTTTTTTTTTTTTGAGTACTACATATTTGTTTTTGCATAGATTAACTTCTGTTTCTTCCAGTCGGGGGATGTTTCTGATCTATTTTCCAAATTTCTCCACCCCTGGATTGAGGATTGGCTCAATGATTTGTCACTATCCCAAAATTTCCAAATTTTTCTGCCGTAGTGTGTTTAAATGGAGGTTTCCATAGCATTCTTTTGTGTTACCTCCATACTTGTAAATAGCGCTGCTTTAGCGTGCTATAGCAGAGTTGCATTGCGGGGTTTCCATAATAACTTACCTCCTGCATTATTGACCATTGGATTCAACATTGAAATTCATCCAACAATCAATAATACGTCCACCCGGTCTGAAGTTACTACAACGAAAGGGTGCCATAAACCTCTCTTTAAATGATACTGGATTATGTATATTCTTGGAATAATGCTGAAGTGACAACTTTTAGAATGATAAAAAACAGAATCAGTGTGCTAAGTTTTTGGGTTGTATATGGATTTGCAGTGAAAAATATTGACGTAGCTTTCATAAACCTAGAGGTGAATCTAATAGTGTAGAAGCGTGAGTTTTTGTTTCCCTGAATTCTGTATGTGTAACATAACCGATATTCTTGTGCTAAATGCTTTATCTTTTTTGTAATATGTAACAATTGTTTCATGATGCAGGTTTTGCAGCAGCTTAGGGAAAAAGCTTTAAAACGTGCAAACTTGACAGAAGCTGAAGTCTTGCAGAAAATTGAAGAACGGGCTGCTGCTAGAATACAAAAGGAGTATGCGAAATCAGATGCAATAAGGAAGGATTTGGCTGCTATTGGTATTACTCTTATGGACAGTCCAAATGGCACAACTTGGAGGCCTACCATTCCTCTTGCGCTTCAAGAGCAGCAGATTGATGCACCATGAAGAGCTGCTCTAATTAAAGATAAGCTTCAGTTGTCAACATCTCCTAAACAAAACCAAGAAATGGGTAGCGTTAGTCCTTCCTTAATCCTTAATGCCTTAAGTACGTGAATTAAAATTTACGTTTTGATAGAAATCTAATGAGCTAGTTCAGTTGTCTTGGTGACCAATTTTTTAATTAATTTTTTTTATAACATATCGGGTCTTTTCTTTTCTTTTCTTTTATATTTTTTAAGAATAGAATTTGCGTTAGTTTCAGCTTAATATTGAAATTATCACAGTATCACTAGTGTAGTTACTTTGAGAATGCCGTCTTTTGTGGTCGCAATGTATTTACTATGCTTCTAGATCGTTTATAGCTATTAAAGAAATGAAGCCCCTAGATCATAAGAAAACTGTTGTATCTTCTATTATAATCTACTGATTGTCTCTCTGTTGGAATTCTATATGAATTCCATCAGTGAATGAGTAGGAAATTGAGATGGGAAGATTGAAGAGTTGGAAAATGAAAGGGTGTGAGGGTAAAGAAGCCCCACATAGGAGGAGGGAGGTGTAAGAGTCTTTATAAGGCCCTATCTCAACTTTCAAGATTGCCCATTGGGGGCATCTCACTTTTTTTTGAAGGGGACTTAGGTGACCCTTGGTTCATCACAAATAAATTATTTCATTTTTCAAAAATGTTCTTAAAACGTTTTAATATTTTTCAAAATACTCCTGACATTTAAAAAACAGTCATCTTCCCCCATTTAGCGGATTTCGGCGGCATAAATGCTTCTTTTTGCTACCAAACGAACATCTTTGATTGTCATGACCAATGTTGTTAAAATCGGAGGGGCTTAAAAAATCGTAAAACTTAAAATCGTAATGTAAAAAAATCGTAAAAAATTGTAAAAACTCAAAAGCATTTAAAATATTAGTAAAATCGTTTTGATGAAAAAAAAATCGTAAAAACGTTAAATCGTAGTGATAAATTGAGATTTTAACAACTATGGTCATGACCAAATACTTCCTATAAATATGAAGTTTTCTGAAATAAACTAAACATTTTTTTTCCGGTTGTTCAACTTTGGTTTCCTATTGCAGCATATATACTGTCATTCTGTTCAAAAGGGGCTCTATTTTGGAAGATGTTTGTCCATTGTTTCTTGAACCTCACAAAGGGGACAAATTATCTTAAGAAAATAAAGGGCAACCCTTGGGCTTGTAAATCATATTGTGTTGCGTGCCCCGTTGTTGCATGTCTTATTGTGTTTCCATCTATTCTATGCCAATTTCGATCATTTTTCTTTTTCAACACTCTGGAATTAAAGTTAAAAGTTTAATTCAACCTTAAAAACCAGTTTTAAGGGAGAGATTGGTTAAGTCACTATACAAGATACTTTGTTTATATCCAACCGGGGTGGACATTTGCGAGTGGCCTAACATTTGAATCGGGATATGCTTAGAAATCAAATTAGAATTAAGAACTGAAAGCTGCTTCGTGAGGAGAAGATTGTCCTATAATTTACAAGCACATTCAATAGAAAACTCAAGTAAATAAAATCCAGAACACTTAATCCAATAAACTTGAATAAACCAAAATTAGAATAAGAAAATAGAAGAAATGAAATAGCAAAAGAATAAAAACGAAAACTCACCAGAAAAACAGAGCATTGGTGAGGGAACGAGAGCATATAAAAAAACGAGGTCGCTATCCCAGATGGTGCTATTGCGGTACTCCCGATGGATAAGTCGAGGTGCCTATCAGATAACCACTTTATAAGCTTCGGAAGATATCACACCTTCGAGATACGTGGTATGAGAGGGTCCCACACAGTTTGATTAAGAGAACAGCAACCGGAGGTTTTGTTTCCCTCACGCAATGCAAACAAATCTTGAGTGGAGCAAGACTACTACTCCTTCTTTCTAAAAGCGAAAAAAAAATTTCATTTAAATCCAACTTTTGATTTATATTATCATTTAGATGTATGGTATATTCCCTGCATTGAAGATTTTTTTCGTGGAAACCACTCTATCAAGAGCTCAGCGCTAGAACCTAAGAAAAATATATTCACTATTAAATTTGGTAAAAATCAAATTTTATTTTACCCACTTTTTTTTATTGTTATTGATATTATTATGTCCCATCTTTTTCTATTTTTAATAAGGAAATATGTATTCTCCTAATACCAAAACTATGTTGATACTTAAGGCTTTGGATTTGGCACCAAATATCATCGTAAAAAGAAAAGAAAGAAAAAAGAAAGAGAATGAAAGATTTTGTAAGGTGGCAAATTAAGCAACTTGCCCTGCCCCGTCCCGTCCCGCTTCGCCACCAATCCGATTAAAAATGAGTCAACCTATTCTGTTCTGGTGTTGAAAGTGAGTTGAGAAACTCAATTCGTTCCGTCACTAACCCTCCACAACAGCAAATATGATAAGCCTTCCACAACTATATAAAGTCTCATTCTTATAAAATACAGTATATTCATTGGTAAACAATATCTTTCTTTTGTCTTCTTCTTGGTGTGTTTGTGTGTGTGGGTTTGAAGATGGAAGCACATATACTAATTTTTATCCAATCCAATCCAATTTCACGAGAAAGACACTGCATGCTAATGACATAATTATGGAAAAGGAACAATTTGAAACATGACCAACTTGATTCAACGTAGCAAAGAAATGCTGTTACAAACCAAAACTTGTTAACTCGTGAGGTAAAGTAAAAGTTAGGTAAGAAGTAAAGTAAAAGTTAAACAAACAAACATAAAAAACACAGGTTCAATCTGCTTTTACCCGCGCTTAGGCGGGACGGGTTATACAGGTTGGCGGTTTAGAGTTTTTTTTTTAATGTACTATGAACTTTTCCTAGGGTATAGTTGTTGTCTTATAAATCTTTCCTTACAAGGTTATATTTAACATTACAAGAAAAATAAAAAATTTGATTAAATAAAAAAAAAATAGTTAGAATCTTGAAAAAATTCAACTAAATTAAAGAGTGATTGTTAATAAAATGGGGTGGACCAGTGGTGTATAAAGCTCTGTTTGGTTTGTTATTAAAAGATAAAGAATAGCACAACACAAAGAAAATTGACACTTTGTTTAATTATTAAAATAATATAAGGTATTGGAAAATAATTTAAAGGACAACATAAACTAATTTATGCACGAAACCAGTTACAATATATTGTCTGCAGTATAAAAAGAGAAAAAAAAAACACTTTTTGAATCCCTTATTTTAAAATTATTATTATATCTCAATTCTATTGTATGCAAAATAATGCACAACACAAAATGTATTATAATAAATTTTATATTTTTTTTGGTAGACAATTTTATATTATTTTATATATAAACATCACGATTGTGTTAAGAACCTTGAGGTCACCACCCCAAAAGCTAGCTCAAAAGGTGGGAGTGTTCAAGGCCTTATAAAGGTCACATTAGTTTAGTTTCCCACACAATCAATGTGGGACTATATATCTCAACACGCCCCCTCACGCAAGAGCTCTTTGGGCGAGAAGCGTGGAATTGCACAGGCCCAATTTTTGGTTTACCTTTTTGTGCTTTTTATTTTAATTCCACTTGAAAGCGGGAGGCGGTGAGGATCGAACTTGTGACCTTGTAGTCAAGGAAGCTCTGATACCATGTTAAGAACCTTGAGGTCACCACCCCAAAAGCTAGCTCAAGGGGTGGGAGTGTCCAAGGCCTTATAAAGGTCACATTAGTTGTCCATCCAATCAATGTGGGATTATATATTGAGATATATAATCTCACATTGATTGGATGGACAACTAATATGGCATTTATAAGGCCTTGGACACTCCCACCCCTTGAGCTAGCTTTTGGGGTAGTGTATCCCAAGGTTTTTTACATGGTATCAGAGTCTCACCGTCCCCCACTTTAAAATAAAAAGCACAGAAAGACAAACCAAAAATTGGGCCTGTGCAATTCCACGCTTCTAGCTTAAAGGGCTCTTGCGTGAGGGGACGTGTTGAGATATATAGTCCCACATTGATTGGATGGGCAACTAATATGGCCTTTATAAGGCCTTGGGTACTCCCACTCCTTGAGCTAGCTTTTGGGGTAGTGTATCCCAAGGTTCTTTACAGATTGTTATAGTTGTGTGCGATATCTAACACTTCACAACCGAAAAAATTATCTAATGACTCATCTATTTATATTATACTATTATATTTTTACTTTTTTTAATATATATTAAACACAAACTAAATATGTAATGTGTAAACATGTATACCATTACAAGTTTCCGCATAACTGTGTTAAATAATTATGATCCAATTGCAATAAGCATTTATATAAATTCCCAGATCATGCCAATTATCAATAATCATGCCCGTTAAAATAATATAACTTAATGCATGCCAATTAAAAGAAATAAAATCATGAAATTCAAAATAGCGAAATAAAAAAAAGACAAAATATCATAATGTTATTGTTGGTACGCAAAAAATTAATCTAGTGAGTGTGATATTATATAATAAATCTTCCTTGAGAAATTTGCCTAAAAAACTGTCTTCAAAAGTAAAAATAATTTTTTTTTGAAAAAAATTGTAACATAAGTGTTGATTCTTTTCTTGAAAACGGAAAGTAAAATTATGAAAGCAAAAAATATTAGAGCATAAATGCTAAAAAGAGAACAAATTAATCAAGCAGTAATAAAAAATATACAAATTTGTCTTACAAAATTAAGTAATAGTATTATATATAAAATAATTCGTGTAATGCACTAACTGATTGATGATATAAGTATAAATAACTTAAACATAATTAGTTTAAAATTAATGTGAACAAAAAATAGTAGGCTAAATTCCTTAAAAAAATTAGTAATCGGTGAAGTAATAAAAATCATAACTATATACTTCATTTTTTCTCTATTATTTATCTTGAGTTATCTCATTTTATTATATTTAAAAACTTATACATCTGCGGTTATTCTTAAAATTTGGGTTTGTCTGAAGAGTTGTGTGTGTGGTGGTAATAAAGTGCTTGGGAAATGAGTATTGACTGCTAAGTGAGTGCATGAAGTGCATGAAGGAACAAATGTGATGCAGGGAACAAATGTGATGCAGTGATGGAAAAGGGAAATCGTGGGTGACAAAGCCAATGACGTTGACAATTTACCCATGCTATTACTTACATGTTCAATTAATCTCTTTAATTTATATATAGATAAATGATCAATTTATATTATAATAAATTTTTACATAAAACACCCATTATATTAACTATTTCAACCATTTTTGTTTAGAATTATGTATGTCTCAACCTTTGATTGTAGGATGAAATAAAACCAGATTTGTATATTTTAATTAAGG